CCCCAAAACCCCAAAACCCCAAAACCCCAAAACCCCGGGAAACATAAATCATCTTGAAATTAAGAGGATATATTTATTAGGTTAATAATAAAATGGAAGAATATGTGGAACAGATGAAGAGTGTATTGAGATCAGAAGAGTATGTTTTGGGGGTGTATTTGGTTAATTTGGTGGGTATTTATGGAGTTATTATTTGGAGAATGATTGTGGCGGATATCCCCTCGCTTCCCTTACACCTATTCCTCATCTTCTACTCCCTTTACCTCACGACCACACTCCTCATCTACCTCCTCCTGGTCTTCTCCGACTTCAGCTTCGAGGACTCCTCTCATTACGAGTCCAAGTGCCTGGGCTGGTCTTACCTGCTAGGCGCATCTATGTTCCTCTTCTTCGTTGCCTTCCTCGTATGGCTCGTTTCTCGCTCTGTGAAGAAGGCGATGGAATCTGAGTGGTGTATGCTTCTGTGCTGGCAGCCGGTGTACTGAATGATATGAGGACTTGTACTGTGGCTGGGGCTGGCTTGGGGATTGTTTGTGGGGTTGGTCGTTGTGTATGAGGGGAATAAGGATGTAGGGTTTTGGGTGGGGATGGGAGTGATGGGGGTGTGAGGAGGGTTTTTATGTGCGATGTTTTTGAAGACGAGGGAAGAGGTGTTTGTGAAGGGGAGAGTTCAGTATTTTCACCCTTGCACTTGGATTTTTGTTACTGGAGGGGTTTTACTAATTCCCTTCTACTTGCTCTTCCTCTGTTGCAAAGGTAACTCTTCAGAATGCGAAAGCGCAAAGGAGTCAGGAAGAAACCAACCAAATGAGACGTTTGATGAGCTGAGGAGAAAGAGAACAAACAAGATGTCGGATATATATAGAGTATAAAACCTTCATTAAATCTTATTGTTCATTTCCTTTCAAAAATTTACTGTTCTACTACAGCTTTTATAGCTTGCTCTACTTCTGGGTTCTTCTTCCTGTAATTTAGGAAATGTGGATTCTTGAAGAGATTTTCAATAAACAAAAGTTTACTTGGGGTTTTGGGGTTTTGGGGTTTTGGGGTTTTGGGG